AGAGATTTCGTTTTTCTTGCCGTGCCCGTTTAGAAATTGTGTACAAGTTTTGTTTTATTTTACTCGAGCCCTTATAGGAAATTGTGCGATTGATGCCGCGCTTTTCGAAACGCATCATATAAATGTAGCGTATGTATTGAACGATGATAAAGAATGCTGGTTTGTGAAACGGCTTCGAGCTCGGTAGACGGTGTGTGGATAGTGAGTGAGGAGGAGGAGTGAGGAGGAGGAGGAGGCGCAGCAACTCGAACAAAAAACGGTCGCTCGCGTCCCTCCCTCGCGTGTCCTTCCCTCGCGCACATACACTATCGTTTTATCTCGATGTTTCATTATGCGTATATATACACATATACATATATACATATATATACGCGCGTTCCACAGCGAGATCGCGGATTTAGCTAGCGCACAGCCGTTAAGCGGTCCAAATGCGATCGAACGTGTATAATATACGAAAGACGATCTTCAGCTCGCTCTTCGTAATATTTTTTCACATTTGCGACATCTCTCCTCATTCCGAGTGAGAATACGACGACGACGACAGTTGTTGTCTTTATAACCGAAACGTAGAACTATCTTTTCGATTACACCGTGTCGCTTTCAATCTAGCGAAGGGTCGAGAGAATGTTCGAAGTTTTCCACCGGTTACCGTAACGGCGCGCGCGCCTTAGTACGATCGTAGTCACTCTTAGCGACGACGACGACGACGACGAAAGCGCGCGCCCTGGTACAACCGGTATTAATACGTTAGACGTATACATATATATTTATATAAACACACACACACACGCGCGCACACACACTCACACGCACACTCGTACGTGTACGCGCGCACGTCGAACACACAAATATACAAACACAATACGGTTTATTCATTTTTCCCGTGTGTGTATACATATTTACGTGTGTGCATGCGTGCGTGTTCACGGCGGGCGGATGGTGTGTGTGTTGTCGTTGTATTGTGTGCTGTGTGCTGTTCGTTGACAGCATAATATAAACGTGTATGTGTGTATGTTTTGTCTGTATCAGAATTTGAAAGCGCGTGGCGCTCCGAAATTTATTTTCCGGAGCGCGCTTCACACGCATCTCTCTTTTGATTACAACAAAAAAACACCCGCGTGTAACAAACACACTTTTTCTATATCGTGTTACGCACGCGACGTTTTTTTTTTGCTAAACGCAACAGCTCCCTGGTTGATCCTGCCAGTAGTCATATGCTTGTCTCAAAGATTAAGCCATGCATGTCTCAGTACAAGCCATATTAAGGTGAAACCGCGAAAGGCTCATTAAATCAGTTATGGTTCCTTAGATCGTACCCACATTTACTTGGATAACTGTGGTAATTCTAGAGCTAATACATGCAAACAGAGCTCCGACCGGAGACGGAAGGAGCGCTTTTATTAGATCAAAACCAATCGGTGGCGGGTTCGCGCTCGTCATCGTACAACTTGGTGACTCTGAATAACTTTACGCTGATCGCATGGTCTAGCACCGGCGACGCATCTTTCAAATGTCTGCCTTATCAACTGTCGATGGTAGGTTCTGCGCCTACCATGGTTGTAACGGGTAACGGGGAATCAGGGTTCGATTCCGGAGAGGGAGCCTGAGAAACGGCTACCACATCCAAGGAAGGCAGCAGGCGCGCAAATTACCCACTCCCGGCACGGGGAGGTAGTGACGAAAAATAACGATACGGGACTCTTCCGAGGCCCCGTAATCGGAATGAGTACACTCTAAACCCTTTAACGAGGATCAATTGGAGGGCAAGTCTGGTGCCAGCAGCCGCGGTAATTCCAGCTCCAATAGCGTATATTAAAGTTGTTGCGGTTAAAAAGCTCGTAGTCGAATTTGTGTCCCGCGCCGCCGGTTCATCGCACGCGGTGTTAACTGGCGTGCCGCGGGACGTCCTGCCGGTGGACTTAGCCTTCACGGGCGGTCCAACTCAATCCCACCACGGTGCTCTTTACTGAGTGTCGAGGCGGGCCGGCACTTTTACTTTGAACAAATTAGAGTGCTCAAAGCAGGCTAAAACTTCGCCTGAATACGTGTGCATGGAATAATGGAATAGGATCTCGGTTCTATTTTGTTGGTTTTCGGAACCCCGAGGTAATGATTAATAGGAACGGATGGGGGCATTCGTATTGCGACGTTAGAGGTGAAATTCTTGGATCGTCGCAAGACGAACAGAAGCGAAAGCATTTGCCAAAAACGCTTTCATTGATCAAGAACGAAAGTTAGAGGTTCGAAGGCGATCAGATACCGCCCTAGTTCTAACCATAAACGATGCCAGCTAGCGATCCGCCGACGTTCCTCCGATGACTCGGCGGGCAGCTTCCGGGAAACCAAAGCTTTTGGGTTCCGGGGGAAGTATGGTTGCAAAGCTGAAACTTAAAGGAATTGACGGAAGGGCACCACCAGGAGTGGAGCCTGCGGCTTAATTTGACTCAACACGGGAAACCTCACCAGGCCCGGACACCGGAAGGATTGACAGATTGAGAGCTCTTTCTTGATTCGGTGGGTGGTGGTGCATGGCCGTTCTTAGTTGGTGGAGCGATTTGTCTGGTTAATTCCGATAACGAACGAGACTCTAGCCTGCTAACTAGGCGTATTTCGACATCCCAAAGGCCCGCCGGTTCGGGTTTACGCCCTTGCCGTGCGCGGTTTTTACTGTCGGCGTACAAACAATTCTTCTTAGAGGGACAGGCGGCTTCTAGCCGCACGAGATTGAGCAATAACAGGTCTGTGATGCCCTTAGATGTTCTGGGCCGCACGCGCGCTACACTGAAGGAATCAGCGTGTCCTCCCTGGCCGAGTGGCCCGGGTAACCCGCTGAACCTCCTTCGTGCTAGGGATTGGGGCTTGCAATTATTCCCCATGAACGAGGAATTCCCAGTAAGCGCGAGTCATAAGCTCGCGTTGATTACGTCCCTGCCCTTTGTACACACCGCCCGTCGCTACTACCGATTGAATGATTTAGTGAGGTCTTCGGACTGGTACGCGGTGGGCGTTTCGGCGTCGTCGATGTTGCCGGAAAGATGACCAAACTTGATCATTTAGAGGAAGTAAAAGTCGTAACAAGGTTTCCGTAGGTGAACCTGCGGAAGGATCATTACAGTGCTTTAATTTTTGTCTTTGACAAAAAAAAGTCTTTCGTATAATGAGTAATATATTTCAACACGATACTTTACTCTTATACACTTTACTATTCATTGAACGAATTTGCCTTTTTATTATAGGCGATGATGTAGCGACGTTCGAAAAGATAATAAGGAACATTTATAGTAAGATCGAGCGCACACACGTGTATATTACCCGAACGAGGTGTTGTTGTTTGTGTGTAACACACAACCTCTTCCCTCGTCTCGTCGTGTACGCGAGTGCGTATCTTTTTTATAAATCTTATTGAAAATCTTTTCGTCGTCCCACCATCATATAATACGTATAATTTTCGAACGCACCACGCCGTATAGAGCGCTTCTAGTACGCGCGAGCGCGCGCTCGGGGTACGTTCCGACACGCGTATATCGCATAGACATAATATTGTGTTGTATGCGTATGCGTATGTACACACGTGTCTCTACGACGTCGTCGTCTGTACGGATGGCGATATTTTCGACGGGTAACTCTATATGGGAGAAGAACGGAGATATGTCGTCGTGTCCGCACGACTCATTTCCTTCTTTTCCGGTTGTTTTTAAAGATATTCGCCCGTTAGTCGAAATTTCTACGCCATACGAAAAGACGGTACAAGAGGACGACACGTGTTGTACGCTTAATACATACATATATATTCATGTTATGTACAACTCTGTTGTAGTGTTATTTGTACCCCTTGCACACGCGTATGCTATAGAAGCGCGATACGGATAGAATGCGCGCGTACACGAGAGACTTCGTCGGCACGCTCGTTTGTTATAAACGCGCAAAAATAATTTTGCGCGTTTGCCGCGCAAAATACACGAAGTCTCCGTGAGAAATGCGCGCTTTCTTTTTTTTATATATTTTCTTTAATAACATTAGCCATTATCATAACAATAAAGACGTATCGATATATATTTTATATATATAGAGATCGTCTAATTAAAAAACGATTACCCTGAACGGTGAATCACTTGGCTCGTGGGTCGATGAAGAACGCAGCTAATTGCGCGTCAACTTGTGAACTGCAGGACACATGAACATCGACATTTCGAACGCACATTGCGGTCCTCGGATACTGTTCCCGGACCACTCCTGGCTGAGGGTCGTATCAATTTAAAAGACTGCTCGGTTTCCTCTCCGATCTCTGTTCGCGTCGTCGTATTATCTCTTTATCCGAGAGACGACGACGACGACGACGACATGAGAGAGGAGAATGAAACGTCGGAGCGTGTTGGATGTAGACGCGGCGGTACGACGCGACGACGCTAGTTATTATATATTTATTTATGTAATATCGTAAACGTCGTCGTCTTTGTCGTCGTCGCGGCATCTCAAAACGCGAAAGCGACGATTCGTTCGTCATACGAACGAATCGTAAACTCACACATAGAACGAACACGCGCGCTGTACGGATAAAAATCGTAATAGCACTACATATATATATATATATATATATATATGTATATATGCTGTAGTCGTTACGCGTTTCGAACTTGCGCTGCGATCGTCGTGTCCGAGAGAGAGAAATTATTTTTTTCGAGATAACGACGTCTGATCGCATATACGCGCTAAACACTAGAGAACGCTTTCGACTAGTAGTAGTATAGCAGCAGCAGCTATACGATTTAGTATTAGCGATCGCGTGTGACATATATATCTGTGTGTGGTGTTGTGTTGTATATTGTTAACCGACCTCAGAGCAGGTGAGACTACCCGCTGAATTTAAGCATATTACTAAGCGGAGGAAAAGAAACTAACTAGGATTCCCTCAGTAGCTGCGAGCGAACAGGGAAAAGCCCAGCACCGAATCCCGCGGTCGATATCGGGCGCCGGGAAATGTGGTGTTAGGGAGGATCCGTTTATCCCGAGGTCGCGCGGCGAGTCCAAGTCCTTCTTGAACGGGGCCACAGCCCATAGAGGGTGCCAGGCCCGTAGTGGCCGCTGCCGATCGCGGGAGGATCTCTCCTCAGAGTCGGGTTGCTTGAGAGTGCAGCCCTAAGTGGGTGGTAAACTCCATCTAAGGCTAAATATGACCACGAGACCGATAGCGAACAAGTACCGTGAGGGAAGTTGAAAAGCACTTTGAAGAGAGAGTTCAAGAGTACGTGAAACCGTTCAGGGGTAAACCTGAGAAACCCGAAAGGTCGAAAGGGGAAATTCATTCGCGTTTCGGCCGTCGGCGATGAGCGGTCGCGCGACGGACGGCGTTCGCGCGTCGTCCGCGCCTTTCGCTTTTCGATCCGGCGTCGAACGCGTGCACTTTTCCCTAGTAGGACGTCGCGATCCGTTGGGTGTCGGTCTACGGCTCGCGGTGGAGTCCGTGTACGATCGTTTCGGCGATTCGTGCTCGAACCCGCGATGTTCCGGCCGACTCGCTCGACGGTATACAGATGGCGCGAGGCCGCTACTTCTTCAATTAGCGTCCGACCCACGACAAGCACGTTCGATGCTAAGACGGCGATCGGACCTAGCGCCCGGTTCCGTCCCCGGACGACTGTTGGTCGTGCGGATTTCTCGGACAGACCTCGTTTGAAACGCCGATCTGCGACGCTATAGCTTTGGGTAATTTCAGGACCCGTCTTGAAACACGGACCAAGGAGTCTAGCATGTGCGCGAGTCATTGGGACATAACTAAACCTAAAGGCGCAATGAAAGTAAAGATCCGCCTAGCGCGGATTTAGGGAAGATGGGCGGCACGTCTATAAAGCGGCCGCTCCGCACTCCCGGGGCGTCTCGTTCTCATTACGAGAAGAGGCGCACCAAGAGCGTACACGCTGGGACCCGAAAGATGGTGAACTATGCCTGGTCAGGACGAAGTCAGGGGAAACCCTGATGGAGGTCCGTAGCGATTCTGACGTGCAAATCGATCGTCGGAACTGGGTATAGGGGCGAAAGACTAATCGAACCATCTAGTAGCTGGTTCCCTCCGAAGTTTCCCTCAGGATAGCTGGCGCTCGTCTGTGACGAGTTTCATCCGTAAAGCGAATGATTAGAGGCATTGGGGTCGAAACGACCTCAACCTATTCTCAAACTTTAAATGGGTGAGATCTCCGGCTTGCTCGAACTAATGAAGCTGCGAGAATCGAATCAGAGTGCCAAGTGGGCCATTTTTGGTAAGCAGAACTGGCGCTGTGGGATGAACCAACGTCGAGTTAAAGCGCCTAAATCGACGCTTATGGGGATACCATGAAAGGCGTTGGTAACTTAAGACAGCAGGACGGTGGCCATGGAAGTCGGAATCCGCCAAGGAGTGTGTAACAACTCACCTGCCGAAGTTACTAGCCCTGAAAATGGATGGCGCTGAAGCGTCGTGCTTATACTCGGCCGTCAGCGGCATGTGCGGTCTCGATCCGCGTAAAAACGGATCGGCCATGAAGCTCTGACGAGTAGGAGGGTCGCGGCGGTGCGCGCAGAAGGGCTGGCCGTGAGGCCGTCTGGAGCCGCCGTCGGTGCAGATCTTGGTGGTAGTAGCAAATACTCCAGCGAGGCCCTGGAGGACTGACGTGGAGAAGGGTTTCGTGTGAACAGCCGTTGCACACGAGTCAGTCGATCCTAAGCCCTAGGCGAAAGCCGATGTTGATGTGGCGTTGTTTTATAAATATATGTATGTATGTGTGTATATATAAAGAACACGCCCGTCGGGCGAAAGGGAATTCGGTTCCTATTCCGAAACCCGGCAGCGGAACCGTACAATAGTCGGGCCCTCGCAAGAGAGTTCGTCGGGGTAACCCAAAAAGACCCGAAGACGCCGTCGGGAGACCAGGGAAGAGTTTTCTTTTCTGCATAAGCATTCGAGTTCCATGGAATCCTCTAGCAGGGAGATATGGTTTGGAATGCGAAGAGCACCGCATTTGCAGCGGGTCCTGGTCTTCCCCTCGGACCTTGAAAATTCGGGAGAGGGCCACGTGGAGGTGTCGCGCCGGTTCGTACCCATATCCGCAGCAGGTCTCCAAGGTGAAGAGCCTCAGTCGATAGAAAAATGTAGGTCATGGAAGGTCGGCAAATTGGATCCGTAACTTCGGGATAAGGATTGGCTCTGAGGATCTGGGCGTGTCGGGCTGGCGAGGAAGCGGGTCGCGGCTGACGTGCGGGCTGGGCGAGTGAAACGTTCTTCTGTCGTATGCTTTCGCGCGTGTTGCGGTAGGATTGGCGGATCCGAACTCGGTACCGTGCCTTGGCCTCCCGCGGAACCGTCTTGCTGCGAGGCCCAGAGTGCGCTCGCCAAGGGCGTTCTGGTGTCCTCTTCGGCCGCCATTCAACGGTCAGCTCAGAACTGGCACGGACCGGGGGAATCGACTGTCTAATTAAAAACAAAGGCATTGAGATGGCCCCTGCGGGTGTTGACTCAATGTGATTTCTGCCCAGTGCTCTGAATGTCAACGTGAAGAAATTCAATCAAGCGCGGGTAAACGGCGGGAGTAACTATGACTCTCTTAAGGTAGCCAAATGCCTCGTCATCTAATTAGTGACGCGCATGAATGGATTAACGAGATTCCCACTGTCCCTACCCACTATCTAGCGAAACCACTGCCAAGGTGTGGGCGGTCCCTCCACCACCCCTGTTCCAGGCAACCTCATACCCTTGAGGAGTGGGGGAAGAGCAATGTGTGAGACAGAGAGAGAGGGGGGGGGGGGAGAGGGAGAGTTAACGTGATTGTCGTTATAGACACTAGCGGCATTGTATGTAAAATTGCGTTGGAATAAAGTTCTATCATTCCGACAGTACCTCTAGAAAGTAACTATCCCTCCAAGGTATCTCCATATAGTCGAGCTCCACAACCCATCGATGCTAGGTAAACATAAAATGTTACGGTAAGTAAGAATTGGTATTATTTGTTGCATTTTCCATGTCACGATCCGTATCGTAGAAACGTAACATCACACTGTATCATGCGGTTATTGGGCTGTTGTTACTTGAATCCCAAACAGCATGAAGGAATATCGGCAAAATATTACG